AAAGAAGAAAGAAATCAAAGGATAGGCAATCTCCTTGCAACATATATTTATGATTTGTCATCTTGAAAATGGCTTGTTTCAAGTCCAGGAGAGACTTTCTTCTATGCTTGCCTGCAGACTCCCATTAATCATTCCCCTAAATCATAGGGGGATAAGGGTACGAGGGCTGCATCTTATCCCTCAAACACCCCGTGCACTGTCAAGGAAACACAGTCAGGGAAGCCATCAAACTCTTTTTCTCCCTATATGTGCCACATGTCTCCAGTTTTTCCTGTATTTTGAAAGTTTTCTATTCTAAATAACCTAAGAGATCCAGATGCCAAATGACAGAACAGGTTTTCAGCCCATCACATCTAAAGGGCTTGAGGTAAGCAATAATGCTTTGAACAAGACAGGTGGGTGTGATAAATTCAAGAGCGGCAGAACACGAAGGAAGGAATACAAAGAACTATGAAGCTACTTCACTGTTTCTTCAGGTTTCTTAAATGGCATCCCTACCATCACCACAATACAAGTCACTTTTGAAACACAAAGAAGTCGTCTGCTCTGTTTTAGAAAAACAACAAACTGCATAATCCCAAATCCTTGGTGTTGCTAAACCAGCCTTCCGCATCTTGGCCAAATACTAACTACAGCCATTGCCAGCAGATATGATGGGTAAAATCTTCAGAAGAACGTAACGTAAGAGTCAGTGAGTTGAAATACCTGTTAGGTCATGAAGCCCACCAGGTGAGCCTGAACCACTCAGATTCCCAGGAACAGCAAGTTTCACAAACTTTTTGTAAGTCTTGTGAAGAAGCAGGAGATGGGAAGGTGGTGACATCATCGCCCTAAGATGGCACCTTGAGCCAATTCTCTGTCACCCTGAGCTATAGACATAGATATGAACATGAACGTGCGCGCACCCACACACACTTCCCAATTCTTAAAACTTTTAAATCTGCTAGCTTTTGATTTGCAATGCTTGCTGGAGTGTGAATATCCAAAACCAACTACCTTGCTTACGTGCCCTGACTTAAAAAACCTGGAGCTGCCAAGCTGCAAAAAATGATGACAAAATTTGCAGTTGAATAGTCTCCCAGAGCAGCTTCAAGACATCAACAAGACAGTCCCTGTCCTCAAGTTTAAAATCCAGAAGCTATGGCACAAACAGAAATGAGATTGGTAGGGATGGTTGGGGGAAAGGAACTTCCTAAATGTAGAAAGCTAACCGTCAGGGAGAAAGGTTCTAGCTTAGTTGTTGTGTCTCCCTGACATGAAACTTTTCAGTGAGCAGGATGCTTGAAGCGTTTGGATTTGATATCCCGCTTTATCACTACCCGAAGGAGTCTCAAAGCGGCTAACATTCTCCTTTCCCTTCCTCCCCCACAACAAACACTCTGTGAGGTGAGTGGGGCTGAGAGACTTCAGAGAAGTGTGACTAGCCCAAGGTCACCCAGCAGCTGCATGTGAAGGAGCGGAGACGCGAACCCGGTTCACCAGATTACGAGTCTACCGCTCTTAACCACTACACCACACTGGCTCTCTATGTTTGTCCTCCATACAACAAAACTACTAGAAGACCGAGGTTGTACACTCCAGGAACAGTTTTTTCTCGATCACCTCTAAAATTCTTCGTATTTCTTCATGTGACTATTACCTGAGTAGCTACCATAAAATAGCAGAAGCCTCACAGTGAGCTGGTTTGGATGATACACTAAGTCAAACTAGGATAGTGCAAATTTGTAAGCTCAGAGAGAGGAGACTGCAGCCACTTTTCTCCTCCTCTGGGTCCTGCTGTTGAATGAAGCCATGGTTTGTTTCCTCCAGATAAACATGTGTTACTTCTTGTGGCTTATCTGGAGTGAGACAAACCATGAGCCTGGGTTCAGACAACATGATGAGACAAACCATGGCAGGGCAGCTGCAGCTAGACTAGAGGAGGAATGCAGCAGCCACAATCCTCATTCCTAGAAGTCTAACACTCAAACATTCAAACGAAATTACAGCTTGGTTTAGTACAGATTTGGGAAAACTGTGGTCCTCCAGAGGTTGCTAGATTACAAGTCCCATAATTCCAACCCATTGTCCCTGCTGACTAGGGCTGATGCAAGTTGGAATTCATGAACATCTGGATGGTCACAGGTTCGCCGTCCTGGGCTTAGTGTTCCATGCAAACCAGCTCATTTGTTTCAAAGATGACAACCGCAGCACAGGTTTTAACTGCTGCTAAAATAGATACAAATGCTAACTTCAGATGTTAGAACAAGTGCCCAGCCATCTGTCCCATTCATTAGTCCTCTGAATAAACACAAACAACAACAAAAGCACAATCAGTTGCTTTTTAGCCAACAGCTGCGTCTGAAAATTTGTGGGTGGAGGGAATAAGCCAAAAAAGCAAGTTTACTTTTTTGGCCTTAAAAATGCAAGTTCAGACTAAGTACTTATTATGTGAACTAGTTTGTTTTGGAGAGTCCCAAGAAGTGCAAAGGTAATCCGGCTTCAGTTTGCCACCCCCAAAAACACCCACGTGCAATGAAGTCACAATCAAAGCCTTTACAATGTACAAAACTTCCTTTTTGCAAGGAGTCTGCCTAAATATGTAAGCAATTTCACAGACAGAAAATCTGAGTAATTTTGAAAAGGTCAGCCTTCCTAAACTGGTTTCTTTAAACTTTTGCTCCTATTGTAACTATCTGGCATTAGAGGCCTTTGAAAAACTGAATTTCACGTCATTACTACCAGAATCCTTCATATAATTTTTTTTTCCTCTCTCTCTCTTTTAAAGGAAAATCATTCAAATATTCTATAATAAAATCAGGAACATGTCTTACCTTCTTCGCGTATTTGTGTAGCACCCACAGCTATACATGTTGCGAAGAAAAGGAGGAGGGTTTTCCTAAAAGAAAAAAGAAAATAATATCAAATTAAACACACAGAAAAGTATATGTTTTATCCCTAATAAGTGATGCACAATCCTTAGGTATGAAACAATTTATTCACCACCCAGTTCTCAGATTCTATTAGGCTTTTCCAGGTCAGTATCCAGTTTTGCCAGAAGACCACATGTTGGTTTAGTGATGGGTAAACATGTTACGTCTCCACCACCATTCCTGGCTGTCCCCACTCTCACAGGTGTCATTTTATCCGTCACCACCTGCATCTCTTATTCTTATATTTCTTCTCTTTGGAATTCCTCATTTGGAACAAGCGCAGTGAACAGCAGAATTGTGAGGTTGTGTGCTATATATCCATAGTTACACACTGTGTCAGGGCTTTTTTCAATCCCGCAGCCATCATACCATTAAATACAAGGGCCCCCATCTTTTTGGGCCCGGGACACATTTGGAAATCTAAGAAACAGTTCTGCGTGTCACACAATGCCCATTTCATAGAAGAAACATGGGCGAAGCTCAGAATTCCACTCAGATAAAAGGCAAAAGACCTAGGTGGCACCGCAAGACGAACCATAATGATAAAGCAGTAAGCACCACAAACAAATAAGCCCCCAAACCTTCAATCTCTTTAAAGAGATATACAGTATAAAATTGTCAGGGACAGAGGCCTTAGCGGATGCCAAAGAAGGTGTTTGTCTGAGGCTGAGGACATTGGGGACCCCAGCTGTGATATGCTTTATTATTTGTGTTACACAAAATGTTAACGTTTAGCCAAAGAGTCAGAGGTAGAAGGGGTCGAAAAGGCCATTAGTCCACCTTCTAAAATCCAATATTAGAGTATCCCCAATAGATGGGTGTCTGGCCTCTGATTGAAGGCCTCCAGTGAGGGAGAGACCACCACCCATTGAGGTAATTGGTTCCACTGGATTGGAAACAGGTTTCCTCTAATGTTCAACTGAAATCTATTGTCAGGGGACTGCCATCAGAACAGGGGAGGGAAGCAGGGGGGCTGTTGGGATACGGGGAGCCTCCAAAACTCCTGAGGAGCAGTTCCTCTTTCAGCGGTGGGAAAAGCCACACCTCCAGTGGAGAAGAGAGGGAAGGGGCCAGCCAAGAGAGGAAAGGGCTGGAGGATGCTGCTGAGAGCCCCAGCACCTCACCTCGCCAGGTTGGCCAGGAGGGATGCACGCCACTTCTGTCGCCCAGCTTGTACAGAGGGGTGAAACGCAAGGAGGGGAGGAGGAGGCTTGGGGTGCCAAAGTTCTTATGTTGGGGGAGAAGCCGGAAGGGGCCACTCCCGGATTCTGCGAGTAACTAAGACGGACATGAACTTTGTAGATCTGCACTGTAAATAGTTTGCACAATAAAACCTGTAAAAGACAGGTCGGATTCCTGTCTGGTTACTCACGAGCAACCACCATCAGCATCTGACAGCTATTCTCCAGTCACTTGATGCCATCGGGTTTATCCCTGACCCCTGTAGGTGCAGAGAACAAGTCTTTGCCCTCTTCTGTGTGACAGCCCTTCAGTCCACAAATCATTATTATTATTATACTTTCATTTCAAAACCTTAATTTACCCTATCCCTTCATAGAATTATTATTCTTTTAATGCTCCTATAAGGAAGAAGGAGATGGTGGCAGCTAGATGTGCAAACACTTACATATAATGATCCAAGAAGGAGAAGAAAGAGACCAGCACTTGGAAGTGTCACCTCTTGCTTATGCTATGTTCCGTGTGGATGAGCATCAGCAAGGCAAAATACCCTGACCATTTTCCAGCCTGGTCGATTAACATCACCCAAGGCAACTGATACCATGGAAAGTACAAAGCAAACTATAATGAACACACATGGTCTGCCACACACACAGCATGGAGATCTGCGGGAAAGAATTTGCACAAAGCATTTCATAGAATCATAGGATTGTAGAGTTGGAAGGTACCCAAGGTTCGGTTCTCAACCTGTGGGTCCCCAGATGTTGTTGGACTACAACTCCCATCATCCCTGAACACTGGTCATACTGGCTAGGCATGATGGGAGTTGTAGTCCAACAACATCTGGGGAACCACAGGTTGAGAAACACAGATCTAGTCCAACCCTCTGCAATGCAGGAATCTTTTGCCTACAGCCATCCATGGGTGGGCTTGAACCACCAACCTTCCAGTTAACAGCCAGACGCACTGACCCATTTGCTCCATGTTGCTGTGGACCCTTCCCAAGAGCCCCTTGACTCTGCACCCACTGGGTGCCAACCACATTCTGGCACTATCCTTGGGAATGCTGCCTTTTCAACTGTCTCTACCAACACCACCCGCCCCTGTCAAACTGATTTTGATCCAAATGGAGAAAAAGAACAACGAGCTGCGTTTTTAAGACAGCAATGTGCTCCAAGGCAGAATCCAGTCCCCCCACCTCCCGTTTGCTCTGGGTCTTCCAGAAGACAAATAAAAATAGGGGAGGTACTGTTGTGATTATTAATTTGTTATTTACGTTGTCTGTTATGGTTTTTTATTAGGTTTTTATTCTTGATGCTCTGTAAAACATGTTCTTAATGTTGTACACCGCCCTAGGATTTTTGGATGAAAGGCAGTATATAAATCAAATTAATAAATAACAACAACAGCTGTATAATAATAATAATAATAATAATAATAATTTATTTATACCCTGCCCATCTGGCTGGGTTTCCCCAGCCAGATGGGCAGCTTCCAACTGAATATTAAAAACAATACAGCATCAGACATTAAAAACTTCCCTAAACAGGGCTGCCTTCAGTTGTCTTTTAAAAGTAAAATAGTTGTTTATTGCCTTGACATCTGCTGGGAGGCCATTCCAAGGGCAGGCGCCACTACCAAGAAGGCCCTCTACCTGGTTCCCTGTAACCTCACTTCTCGTAGCGAGGGAACCGCCAGAAGGCCCTCGGCGCTGGACCTCAGTGTCTGGGCTGGATGATAGGGGTGGAGAACGCTCCTTCAGGTATAAAGGACCTTCAGGTATAATGTAAATAAGCTCCTTCTTCACACCTCACACCAATCCTATAGAAGTCAAGGGGTGGAGCCAGCAAGGATAATAATGTTGGGAGTGAAGCAGGCAGTGGGGGAGGCATTTCAGATGAGGGCTTATGTCCCATAAAAATCCATGAACAAAAGATCTACAGAGTAAAAAATTTCCTGTAGCTATTGCCTGCGCAGATGGTTACCTGAATAGTGAACAGGCTCTGAATTTATCTATCCTGTTATTTTTCAATCAGTGCGGATTCTAATCCCCTTGTCCTAAGATATGTATCAACATTATTTTTGCATGACCAAGTCACTATTAATTTCGTATTATTTGTCTTTCAGACTGACTCGAGTGAAAGAAATGCACTCTCCAAAAATGAACACCTGTGAGGGGGAGTGAAATTGACATCAAACAAAAATGCATCCAGCTGTTCACAAGAGAGAGGCTATTCTGCATCTTATACTAGTGTCAGTAGTCAAGGAAGGTGAAATGTAATACATGAATCAGCCCTGAGTGAAGAGAAAAATAGTTGACTGAAAACTATACTTACCTACCTAACTCTGCATGAAATCAGGCTGCACATATATTGCGTTTTGTAATTATCTTTGCTTCCATTCTGAATAAAAACAACTTTTAAACTGGCATTGCCCCTACATCTTTAACAGCAGCAAGAGTGCAGATGGTTAGGTTCAAATGCATTAAATGCACGAGGCATGGGCTTGCATGATAGTTTTCCCTCCCCACTGCCAAGAAGGTGGGGAGACAGGAAGTATCTGCTTCCACTGTGAAGCTAACAACAGTTCCTCGTTACAGCCAAACCTGGGAAACTCTGGTTACTTGAAACTTCAGTTTGAGAACAAGTCGGGATCATAAACATCAACTTGATAGCAGCTAGCTTGAAGAAATCACATTTTAAAGTAACAACAAGCAAAAACAGAAGTGTCCAATCTTGAAAAGAGGAGCAGTCTATGAGTGAAGCTCCTGCTGACATGTGTGCGTAATTCTGAATGACAAGTGGCTAGGCTGTGGCCCTGCAGATGTTCCTGGACTACAACTCCCATCATTCCTGTTCACAGCTTGGGCTGATTGCATTTGGGAGTCCGGCAGCAACCTGGAGGGCCACAGGTTAGCCACTCTGCAATAAACCATAGTTTAGCATTCCATTCAAACAGGGTCTTTCCATGCCAAGGCAAGATTCACCTTCTAATCTTTTGCCAACATAATTTTATAAGTGTTTACCCCAAACAAATAACAATTTGAGGCTTCCCCAGAAAAAGTTTTGTTGTTTGCTTCTACACAATATTCACCACCACCACCTCTGTCTAAATACAAGAAGTATTAGCAAATTTTTCAAGTTGAGGGCTCTGCTAGTTATCCCTGTTATGCAAGTTCACCTTTCTATTTCTCACACAGCTTAAAAAAAAACAAAAAAAACTTTCCGAAAAACTGTTGGCAACCTGAAATATAAAAAAACCATTCTTGTACTGTAAATAATTCACTTTTACTATACAAGTTCTTCCTGAGAGGCTGCTCCAGCTGACTTCATTCTGTCTGGTTTCCCTTCGACATCTGATATGAGAAAACACACCTGCTGCAGATGTTATACTTCAGAGGGAACTTTTTACAAATTACCAAGGCATAGGCTCTGAATAATGTTTCCTTCGACATTGTTTTGTCTCTAGTCAACATTAAAAGGTTTTTTAAAAAAGAAACTGTGCATCACCAAGTGTGTAGCTCCTTCTCTTTTGGCTGCAAAAGTCGTCCTACTAAAATCCAGGAGAGAAAGCAACACTGATAATGATATTTTATGCTCAGCGGCCAATTCTCAATTCAGAAAACTGGAAGAAAAGGAACTGTTCATTTTATGCTAAAAATGGCACTAGATAGGTATATTTCTGAGCCTTCCGAAACTGAATATAATGAGAATGTTTTACACCTGAAAACCAGTCTGACGGAAGCAGACTGATGTTGTTTTTGCCTGCCTCCCTCCCTCTTTTCTTCCTTCTCAAATGGCAACTGGTGTCTGTTGGCCAATCTGTGGGGCTCTGGCTGGAGAAGGCTGTGTTAGCCTGACAGGATGCTTGACTCAACTCCAAGAATCCTTTGCTTCTCTCTTGCAAACTGTTATATGAACTTTGCTTGTCCTTACTAGGTGAAATATTAATAAACGGCACGTGATTTAGAATAAAACCCAGGGTCAGAAGCTAATCAACGTATTTTTTTGGAAATAAAGAAGGTGGGCCAGTGGAGAAGCAGCTATTAAAAAATAAGTTATCAAGATACGGCAGGGAAGGAAAAATTCATTATCCTTGTATAATGATAGACTGCAACATCAGAACTTCTGAAGAACAAGGCTACAGTAAGGAAATTATGAAATCTGGTACAGTACTTCAAAATTGGCAACGGCACCCGCTAAAATGTGCCTCTTAAAAACAAATAAGCATAATACTGATTACCCTGTAATTAAGATTCAGTCCTGGTTAATAACTCATACTTTGCCTGGCAGTCTAAATCAAACAATTCCAAAAGCCCATGCCAGATTAAGAATGACTGAATATTAGTAATGCTACATTTTGCATTACAAAATAAACCAATCAAAGAGATCTGATAAACAAACCCCACAAAATCCTAATGTCCTATTGTAACTGATATATTGATCTGTTTCCTGTTGTCAGAGTTATCTTTATCAGAAAAAAAAATGATTATCTATATCTATCTATCTATCCCTCATAAGGTTTCTGAAAATTCACTTGGCCATGAGTTATTCAACTCTAGAATAAAGGAAGATAGGGAAATAGATGTTCAAGTCTGCAGTTCTTTCTGCCTAATATAAAGAACAGAGGTAGAACTTACAAGAAACCACAAACAAAAGGTAGCCAGTTCAGGGATTTCTAAAGATTGGCAATCCATTCCTTAAGCTGCAGAAGGTGAATCAATTTAGAAAACTGATCTCTTCCCATGAATACATGTATTATTTCTTTTTCCACAGTTGTAAGTTGGGAATGAAGAGAAGGAAAAAATAAGTCCCTTTCATGTTGATAGCTTGAATAAAACGTGAACGCAATTACTGTGACACATTGCAAAACAGTTCCTTCATTTTCTATAGTCTTATATTTGTGCAGATTTGTCTGATAGTCTGCCACCTGATCTCAGAAGGTAACTTCAAAGATAATTTCAGCTGATGGCCATATCCATGTGTGGAAAGTGGTCCTAGTTTAGACCAGACTTAGACACTAAGGTCTCAGGATCTTTAAATCTTCAAGGTCAAGACAAGAACTTTGAACTGAGCCCAGAAAAAAACTGGGAAGCAGGGGATGACGACCACACATCAACAATGGGATAATATGCTTAGGGTGGTCCAGATTAACCTTTCACAAACTCGGCTTCATGGTTTCCCTGCCTGGAATCTGCAAATTGTTTGCAGCCTCTCAGAAGCTGTAGCCCACCTCACCCGCTTACCCAAAAGCCAAACTTCATCCTGGCCATTTCTTTCACAGTTCCTATAAACACACTTGTGATTATTCCTCTCCCCACCCCCACCACACACACACAAACACACACACACACACACACACACACACATCCTTTTGCACACCAACTTCAAAATCTTTTCCTTATCTGGACCCAATCTGCAAGGCCCCAAAACCAGCCAGGAAACTATCAGAAGGTCTCTGGAGAAAGATGTACGCAGAAAGACAAATGACGAGCAAATCCCATCACAGCTACTCAAGTAGTGAGCAGTTGCTCAAACCCCACTACCTACAGAACATTTTCTCCATCGCGCTCTAAAGCACAGGGGGAGGGGAATGCAATTTGAAGCAAGATTGTATAGGAAAGGATACTCACTTCATCTTTCACTTCATATGCATTTACAGTTTAGCCTCTTTGCGTTTTTGCTTAAAGTGATAAACTCTTAATATTTCCCCCCGGAATTGGCTGGAAAAGTTGTAGAGAGCATTTCCCTAATATTCCATACAGGCTCTTATAGCCCCCCCCCAATGGTTAGCTGTCAACATTCATATGCAAAACACAGGTGGAACCCCTCCTGTGTAGCACATAGTTTTTTGCTAGCAACCTAAGAGTCTGGGTTTTGGTTTTAATCGGTTATTGCTGCAGATATGCGCTTTAAAATGCTTTAGCCTAAATGCTAACACTAGAAAACAAGAATGCAGGTAAAACAAGGCTACAACCCAGTCACTAGGAAGC